CAACAGAGATTGTGAATGTGCTATAAAATCAATCACAGATATGTTGAGTAGTTGGTATTGTCATTTTAAGTCTTAATATGTTGAAGTACACAGTTGAAGTTCTCTAAGAATGAGGACAATTATTTTTTCAATCCAAATCAGAAGAATTTTTTCTAGTTCGTATCAATATAAAGGCTGCCACTGTCAATTGTTCTCTGAAAGACTAATGAGAAAACGGTAGATATGTGCCGACAAGAATGTTTATTCTTTCAACTAAGTTTTCAATTCTTTAAGTGATTCACATAATCCCATTGACTTTGAACCAGTCAGTCGAGGCTTCACTTAAGCTGGTCCTCTATGGAATCTTCTTAAAGCATGATTATATAATGGACTATTCACAAAGAAGACCTTGAAATGTTTTTACAGTTACATAAGCATCCGTTTAGGTGGTTTTATTCCGTCTTACACTTGACCTGAGAGGAATTGGCTGTAATTATTACAATTGCATTCCTCATATTTTCTGAGCTGTCCTTCAGTTCCTACCTTGTTTTCTTCAGAAACTTTACTGCATTCTTGAATGCAATTATACATGCTTGTTTGATTGAATTATTTTCTTCGTTTGTGGCTGTGACATTTGATTTCCCGACTATGAAGCTTGGGAGACTGAAATTTGCTTCAGATTAATTTGGATTTATACATCATTCACAAGCGTATAGTTTTGGTAAAGTAGACTCAACCGAGGCTAGTCAAAAACAGAAGGGCAGCATCATAAAAAAACCATCTTTAGATGGTCTTTTTTTAATTATAATTGGCATGAGAAAATCGTCTGCAAAATCAGCTAAACTAGCTTCGAATTGATTTATGGGTTTTGGATGTCTGAATTTTATGTTGCGAGTGAAACGAACGTTGTTGCTTGAATCTTAATTGAAGATGCTTAGGCTAGGCTATTTTGTTTGCTCAAAATATGGTTTTAGTTTAAGGTTCAAGCTTTTCAAGTAAAGCAGGATACGATATTGTTTAGGGTTTTCTGTATCTTAAGTGAGTTTTTCATATTGTGTTTGAATTCCATTTGATAATTGAGATGAAGATTAGTTTGGCTACACATAATCAATTACTACTTTACTTCTTCATCTCGAGTTAAAGATTCAATAGTTGGATTTAGATATGGTCATGGGCCGGCCTGCCTAAATCGGTCCCAGACCGGCACGTAGTCAACAGGCCCCGAATCGAGCTCGTAATTTGACCGAGTCAGTTTTGAGCCGCACATTAATAGAATTTTGACCCAGTGGGTTGGGTCCAGGTTGGCCCACAAGCAGACTTGAAGACGGCCCGCATGCTTTCCTTTTTTTTTTAATTCTTGGGTCGGGCCGGGTTCGGCTTGGACCCACTAGTAGGCGTGGGCGGCCTAAGTATCTGGGCCGTTGGATCTTTTTGACCATTGGACGACCAGATATCACTTTTTTTTAAATCGATTTTAGGTTAGAGTCCGTTTTCGAGCCCAAAAACCGGCCCACCCAGAACTCGCAATGTTCGCCAAAGATCAATTTTTCAAATCAAATATGTCTGTTGGATCATCTTCATCGTGGAGATCCAACGGTCTTGATCCGGATGATCTGTCTGACCCGTCGATTTTTCACACCATTTAGAGCATTTTTTCTCTCTTCTCTACTCATTTCTAAGTTCTTAGAGTGTTTTGTGCTCGGTTTGCTATAAAATCGGTCCGATTCTATATAAATTTGGTCCCGAACTTTCGATTCTATATATTCACTCTCATTTCGGTTTCGGTTCTACAAACTATTTACATAATACTCTTTCATTTCTAATTATATCATTTTTTTTTTACCTTTTTTTAAAATAAAATCTATTTTAGTTATAGAATGTTGAGTTCACGTTGTGGTGGTATACCAGAAGGTTCTGGGTCTTCCTGATGACGTTTAGCTCGAGTCGGCCCAACGCATCTTTCATTCTATTAAGGAAATCCATGAGAGCTTACGGTTCGAGGAGAACCAGGAGCAACCGTATGAAGTCGATTTCGGTCCTACTCAAGGTTAAGGTGGAGGAGATCAACAACGTCAACGGACTCCGGGTAGCTGCCGTCGAGGGTCAAGGAATGAAATCCGATTATTCGCACGACACTTCGCGAAGGTGTCCAATGAGAAAAAAGGTGACAAACATTTTATATGTATTTGCAACCGTTGTCCACCCAACGCCAAGAAGAAGTACGCTTTCAAAATAGGTGATGGATACTGAACGATACAATGGCCCGTATGGTTACATCATCCGGCCGAAATGGGGATTCCCATGACCCAAACGCAATTCCCGATCCTGGAAAGAAATAGCACTGCATCCACAGGTACGTCTTTTACTTTATTTCAATGCTCTAATGAA